CTGATTTGGGGGTCATATATTTTTGTGTCTTATTTTAACAATGTTAACGAAGGACTTTACAATCCTCGTAAGTGATAATTATTTAAAACAAAAAATCTAAGTGTATTTTTCAACTTTAAAATTATATTATATTATATTATATTATATTATATTATATTATATTATATTATATTATATTATATTATATTATATTATATTATATTATATTATATTATATTATATTATATTATATTATATTATATTATATTATATTATATTATATTATATTTTCTGATGCTTTATGGAGATTGTCATATTTGGGTTTTTAATATTATTAACAAATATGTGGATAATCTGCATTTTATTTTTGGGCCAGGATATTTTAGTATCTAGTAGTATTTTATAATGTGAATGTAGGACTTTGCAACCTTATAGGGCAATTGAGAAAAACAAAACAAAACAAAACAAAAAAAAGATGTAATGTGCATTTTCATCTTCTATATATAATATTAAATATTATATATTTTTTAAACATTATATATTATAATATATTATATATTACTTAATATAAAATTCTATCTTTTATTTCTTGTTTTTGTTGACAACAAATACAATTTGCAATACGCATGATAAGAAACTATGATATGCAATAGAGTTTATGCACATAAAAAACTGTGAGAAAATTGTGGCTGTTCTTTGCTTTATGGAGATTATAGAGATTAGAAATATTGAAATATTTTTAAATGTTTTTTAATATGGAGATTTAGTATAAACTATATACTTTTTTTTTTTTTTAGTTTTAATAGCAACAAATCACAGATTTGCAATACACATTATAAGACAGACACTATGCTATGCAATGGCATTTACACAACAATATAAATATTATATAGACACTTTACTGGTGTAGAAACCAGCTGTTTGCACATGATTTGTTAAATTGGTTTAAACTGCTTGAGTTTGTAAAAGTCATAAGGTATTAAAGTATATCATATTTTTATTATAGTGGTTTTACCCCATTAGCGAGATCATTATCTCGGCGAGTTACCATCTGCTGAGAAATATCACCTCAGACCTGCGATGTTAACAGAACGAAGCATAATTGGACTGTTTACACTTTAAAATTCAGTTGAAGCTGTGGACGGCCCACACATCCTCCTCGCTAATGACACCGCTTTCAAATCCTTGACTCTTCTCCAGTTCAATTCAAGCTTTTTTTTCTTCTTATGACTCATTTTATTCTTTCTCATCTTCTCTTTCCAGTAACCTCGATACAGACAAACTATCAGGTAGGTGTGGATAATTCCTTTAAATTACCATTCTGGGAAGAAAATACAAAAATTGAAGAAGTGTTTCAAGTGGCAGTAATTCAAAAAACGAATCAAATTTTACTTAAAGTTCTCACGTTCATCACACATTTCACATTTTCTTCCTGTAAGAATGCAGAAGTGGTTTGTTACTCGCTTGTAAGGTCATATTCTGTTCAAATCTGCTTTGACTGAATTAATGCTTCTTTTAATTCTCAGCTTTTCAACTATATTGAGAATCTGCACATCTGCCGCTGAAAAGCATGCTAGATTAGGATAATATAATATGCTTAAATCTGTATCATAAAGCTGGTATTTCAAAGGTGCACTCGATTTTCTGGTGGATTTTTGTGCATCCTTGCATGTTTTTGAGCTAATATTAGCCACAGTTTTAAAATGCATGAACTTAAAAGTGAATGATTAATTGTAATTCATTTTAATTTTTACTATGGGAGGTTTTATATCTTAAAAGTGAATTTTCCCCATGGAAAAACTGAACAGGAAAACCAAGTTCACTATAAAACTAAATGCTGACTGTTGTGCTGTACAGTTACTACAAAATATAAACATACGAATTGGAACGCAGCCTGAATCTTCTGTGCTCAGAGGCCAGAGGGTAAAAAGGGTGATATTAGACGACAAGTAATGATCTGGGGTGCGTTTCCCAAAAGCATCGTTAGCTAACTATGGTAGTTAGTTCCATTGAAATCTATTGGTAACGACGGAACTTGCTACCATAGTTGCTTTTGGGAAACGCACCCCTGAAAACCTTCTTGTCCCCAAAACATAATTCATTGACTCTCAAACTCAAGCAGATATTGACAGCCAAGGAGCAGTCGCCTGTTTATGAGCAGTGCAGTTTTTAATCTACTTTACGTGTGTGTGTGTGTGTGTGTGTGTGAGAGTGTGTGTG